TAAATATTAGGTCCGGAAGAGAATCCTTTTTTTTTTTTTTCAACCATTGGTTGCTTGTCAGCAAATTCGAACCAAAACAACTGATACTTACAGACATTATTGAATATCAAACAAGCTTAAGCTTCGGATGCTTGTACCTTGTCATTCTCAGATGGCGAATCTTGGATTCCGTCGCTCTCTGACGGCTGAGATTCGTGCTTGGCGGCTGCTTGCAGCACCCGGCTCCGGACATCCGAGGAAGAAGGTGAAGTGGGCAGCCCATTAAGGTTTGGGTCCAATTTGCCGGCGGCCCATGATACGGCCTGGCCTCCAAGCCTAACTGGAGCTAGCAGCAGACTTGAAGGATAATGCAAAAAGATTAAAACAATCTATATATAAGTGGAAAAAAAAAAGATGCAAGTGACTTTTTCTTTTTCTTTTTTCGTTTTTGGTTATAGGATTTTGAAGGAGTTAGTTGTGGTACCTCACGTCCTTCTTGAGATCCTCTGCTCCTTGGTAAGATGCAATTCGTCGAAATACAGTCTGTTTTTATGGAAAAGGAAAGGAAATGGAAAATAAGGAGAGCAAAAAAAAAATTACTACGACATTTGGCCGCAAAAGAATGTTATTGTTCCAACTCTCACTAAAATTTATGATGGGATTAGTAAGGATTTAAGGTTTATTAGTATCTAAATCGAAGATATCGATTGATGAGGCTAATCTAATCACCTGGCTTAGTCCGATGACACCTACTAATTGCAACGTACTTTCCCACTCTGCAAAACGTTTGTACACCAAAGGATTTGTTAATGAACCAAAAAAAAAAGGGAATGTAGTGAAAAACATCCCATTCATATCTGTAAGAGCTTCGGACCAAAGTTTTCTTCATATAGAAGTAATAACTTGGGGATTTGTTTCTATTTCTTATCAGGAAACGATGCCAATAGTATTTTTTGTTGAAAAACGAACATAAATGAATGATATTGGAGTCGAAGATAGTGATTTTGGAAGAAAAAAGTAGATTTACCTACGAATGAATAAGCAGCTGCAGCAAAACCCTGCCACAGAGATAAACCACTATAATCAGTTAAATCGCAAACAAATGCCATCGCTTTTGAAAAATTTTAAACCTATTTTATCTTTGATTAAAATATACGTATATTGGAGAAACAGAGTGACTTTTACCAATCCATAACCAAGTATTTTCACTGGAGTTGGATTGATTTCCTCCAAGATTGCTTCAGCTTCCTGCAAGGCCACCACTTTTATGTCCGTG